GGAAACATGTCTACAAATATACCGGAATTATACAAAGTTAAACGGTAATAGAAATGAATTGGGGAAACTGCAAATAAAATTATAAGGTTCTGTCGAGGCAGCTCCCCGTTATTAAAAGATACATATACAAGTTCCAACAATTGGCTATACAAAATATAACAATAACAAAACAATGTAAAAAACATAGGAGACGTATTAACATGCAAATATTATTATAGATTTAAAAACAGATGAAGTATTTTTTGATTTTAGATTTAAAAGAGTTTAAGAAAGCGGTATCACGGATATCTCTGGGGAGAGAATTCCATATTTTCGGGCCAGTGTGTCTAAAAGTAAATGAGGAATTTGTTGATGGACATTTTTCAATAAAATAGTTATCGGGATTTCTAGTATTATAATTATGAACAGATTTTTTACATTTCATCATAATGGTAAGATTAATCGGCAGTTTATCAGTTTAAGTTTAAAAGCCATGAGTGATATACAATATTGATTCAATTGAAAAATATTTAAAAACTGTAGTTGTTGAAATAATGGTATTGAATGGGCATTGAAATCAGACATAAGACATATTCTTACTATACGCTTTTGTAATATAAACAGTCGTTGTAATCTCGTTGGGTATGTAAAAATGATGTCAATTGTCTGGTTTGTGGTCTGAACTTTAACCTAGGGTGCTTTTGTGGATGAATTTAAAGGAATGAAAGGAAAAATATTGTCATCGTTATGCATGAACACTAGAAAGACATCAGTGACGTATCGAGGGGCCGGGGTACTATCACGTGATATATTTATCACAGCATTCCATAGCACGCTTTACTGAGCACCATTGTATTGAACATGGCATGTACAAATCCATTTGAACGAGATTTTAGGGCATAAAACTGTAAATGTTCTGATTACCTGCAAGCATGACTTGAATAAAACCACACATTATCATTTGTTTCCACACCATAATCAAACATTGACTATTATGAAATAATGTAAGCAATTATGTAGGCTTCAGGGTAACTCTTACTGAAATTGTCTAACTTCTTTCGTAAATACATGTAAACACTCAGTCTTCTTCAATGTTTGCTCTCTAATTTTGTACGAGGCTCTAGTCTCCTTCGTACATCAACCACACAAGACTGTCGGTGATTATAACAGAAAAGATGAGTCGATGGATTTCAGTTCCAATCATTAACTTTTATTTTAGGAAGAAAGGCACCTCTCAGGAAATGGGATATACCAGCGTTATTTTGTTGTATTAAACTCATACCATTTTAGAACGCTCTATTTCATTTATTTACAACAGAATAATAAAATATAAAAAATTGATAATCTATTTTTGCAGCATATGTTGACTTCCATGAAATGATCTTTTTAATAATGTACACTTTTAGGAATTCTTATATTAAGATGTATAGCATTGTCATTGGATACGAATAAGAATTTACTCCTTAAAATCCCTAATTATAGAAAGAGAACTAACCCACAATCTAATAGCACCAGACTGATAATTATAGATATATAGATACTTGTTTCAATCGTATTTAAAGAAAACCAAAACCTTCATTTTTATTGTAAAGTTTAAGATATTTTAACAAAATCAGTGAAAATCTGAACAAAATCGGGCAAGGAATAAGGAAGCTAAAGCTTTTTGAAATGACTAGTCACTAGAGGGCGATATTCAATTTGATGACATCATTTTTTGGTAAACTCTCCATGCATTTTGTACATCAAATTTCACAATTCTTTCGTTTTCTTCGTATTTATTTGTGTTTTTGATACGACTTCATAACATGTGAAGTATCATATCATTTAGCATTCTATACCTTGCTTTCATGGGAGTAGATTATCTTAATCACAAGAAAGAAGGAAAAACATAACATTTAATGTACAAAAGGCATGGAGAGTTGTCCACAAATGTTGTCATCAAATTGAATATCGCCCTCTAGTGACTATTCTTTTTAATAAGCTTTATAAAATTCCTTATTCCTTGCCCAAGTTACTTTCATTATTATTATATGAGTTCGTTCAATTGGAATGAATACAATTCAAATAAATATCGGGTTGAGGATTTATTTCATTGAAAACTTGGGCAGAGTCAAAAGAGACTTGCTACTGTTTAGCTGTCCATGAGATTTCATTGATCCAGGTATCAAAATAAAGAAAAGATGGCGGGCTGCAACTTGTGCATAGCCGACTGAAGCTATGATTATTGTTGTGATTGCATTAATACCTAATACGATAACAACTACCTACGAATTATTAACCCAAGGCAATTCCAATAGCCTTGTGCGTCACCTATTGAAATGTGCGAACATGACAATGATGTATTAAGTAAGCTGAACATGATTTACATGGGACACACAATAGGGTATTAAAATTGCATTTGACTTGAATGTTCTAAATTGGTTGCGGTCGTGTTATTTACAGGATTGAATACATGTTTCCTTGTTGTGACTCACGCTATACATATGTCAATGTATTTGTTAGATATTGCTGCATAGAAATATACATCAACTCTGATTAGATATGTAAAGCAAAATGTCATAATGAAATTATGAATTACGGACACGGAATAAACTCATCACTTGTTTTTCATAAAATTGTTCTGTAAATATATAAACCTATAGAAACTAACGAGAATAATTATCTTTCAAACTAAAATAATAATAGTTCAAAGGTATCGTTTAACAATGTTAAATCTGAGTTGCATGGTCATATTTGTTATCAGTGTCTGTGATATGGTGTAATATTGAAGCCGGAACATTAAATTGCGCTTCAAAATGGTCATGAAGTGCCTCAAAACAGTAAAAAAATCTTTGAGTGACCGGTTTTACCATACTCATTCCCCCAATTTACTGTACTATTCTAAAAACCGTTAGAAAGATGATTTTTTGGAAATTTCGATTTCCAATCATAAATATCTTAATAATCAGACAGGCGATCGGCTTGTAAACTAATGGGGTTCCCGACTGACCTAAAGGTTTACAATAATGATTGCAGCATGAGCTAAATCCAGGATTGTGTTTACAATCTAAAGAAAAGATACCCAATCCCTTTAAAGCTAAATAATAATGTGACTATAACTAACATCTTCTTTCTACACCATTTTAGAATAGTCTACATGGTCTATGTACAATTCCATCAGAAGATAAGACATTTACAATACTATGTTAATAAGGCACTGTGTTGATCATTTGCTTTCACAGGCAAATAAAATGTGTCTACATTTAAACGGTATTATGTAGCCCCGTATTGACAGTTGTAAATATACCGCAATGCTCTTTAGGCGTGTTTATACAATGTAGATAGTCAAGATAAGACGCAAACTTATAACACCCCTTTTAAATTAAGTATACTTTTTGATTAAATATTATTCCCCCCCCCCTTCTCAAATCAATATTTTGTATGTACAATTTAGGGGCGAGAAAAATACATATACAATACTTTGTGAAGGATAGTTAAAATAAAGAAAATATTCCTCTATTTTCACACCATAACAATACACATATGTATTCTGAACATGAATTGTATGTACAGATTAGGGAGGTATGACATTAAAGCAAATTAATATCTAAAATTCGCATACAAAACGTTTATAAGATACATGTATATAAAAATGGCAATCAATAATTAATATGAGATAATGTCTGTATACTAGACAAAAACAAGATCACAACTACTTTTGACAAATCAATTTCTTTGTTTGTTTGTTTAAATAAAATATATGCGGTCACTAACTAATGCAATGCAAAATAATCGAATATTACATTAAAAATATGTTTCCAATTATAAACAAAGTAATTTTAAACACAAACAGATAAACACACATTTTGAATTATAGTTTTCAATATTAGTTATCTGTGAACGCGAGAGACTGCCATTTTCAGACAAGTTCAATAGCCTCGTTCATCACCTCTAGAAATATGTAAACATTAAAATGACGTATTACGTAATCCGAGCATGATTTCTAGTTGTTACGATCGTGTTACAACTATGTCAAGTTAATTCATCATTAAATGAAATAAATCAGTCGATTATTGATTTTTTACTTTTAAGCACTTAAAAAAAAAAAAAATCCGATTTCAATATTATTAGAACCGTACATTCCATTCCCTTCTCTGTGCTTGTTCACTCTTGAGATACTGAACTACACGATGACGACCATATACTGCGTTGTGCAACACAAAGTAAAAGGGAGGCAGATAGAAAGAGAAAGAGAGAGAGAGAGAGAGAGAGAGAGGGGGGGCTGACTTTCATGAACTTCCACCTGATTTTGTGTCACTGTTTCCGTGTATTGCTGAACTGACGTCACTCTGCTCGACAGGGGTGTGATCATAAACGGTTTAACTTCCATCCTTCTTCTCACAGATTCAATGTAAATCATAGGTTGAGTATCATGTACTGCTGTCATGGTGTTACTCAGGTGTCTGGCTGAGGCTTGGTCCTGTACAGTTAAGTTTTGTATTCCTCTTCCTACGGATTCACTGTCTGTGTATCTCCTTCTTTCTTGGAAGACTTTCGCTAAATTATTGACATTTTGAGATAAAATAAAAACACTGTAGCTACATCTCCGAATTTTAAAAAACAATGTGTGATTCAAATTTGTGCATGAAAACATTTTTGTATTTGCACAAGCCACTGGATGACGCAATATTTCAAATTCTACAAATGAACACGGAGATAAAGCAAATCAAAATTAAGATGGAACAGTTCGTCAACAGGCCTATGTAAAACAAATAATATTTGATGTTCAGTGGAAATAATATGCAGATTTCCTGAAATCTTTCTCAATGCATTTTGTTATTCACACATATTTACATGTATTCAGTATTAGCTGTAAAACAATACATCAGATAATGATTACTTGATATTTTTAGATTGACCTCCAATAATTCGTAAAAATTAACTTTGCTTCACATACGGTACACCTACCAAAAAATAGTGACACAATAACAAACAAACTAACCTTTACGAAATAGAGTCCAAGTGAGTCATGAAATATATATATGCCAGGTATATCTACCCTATCTGTAATTTCTGATTTAAATATAATATAAAAAGAACTGTTCACTTTTGAATGATTAGCGATAAAGCACATCAATTTGAACCTAGACCTAATCAAGACCTTATCGTGACTTATTTTTTTTTACAAACCATACCCTGTACTTGAGAGCAAAAGGGCAATTCAAGCTCAACTGTAAGGGAAGTATTTGTTATCATCAGGACAACTGCTCCTGGAAAACACACCCATAAGAGAATTACTATCCTTTTAGACTTCCCTGGACATGTACAACATGGAAATCTACTTCCAAGGGTATGATACCCCTCATAATACGTACAACATGGAAAATAACCTCCTGGGATAATTATCCTCAAGAGAAATTACCCCCAGATAACAACGATCTTTAATAAGTTAAGCTAATCACCCTCATGCAACTATCTATGTGTGGACATTCGATTTAGAAGTCCTTATCTGAGAATTCAAAGATAATATATACTTTTAACCAATCTCACTGTCAATATACATGTACCTCCCTCTTAAAAGAAAAAAAAATGCCTTACTGCTTTAAAATCACACATTTCCCCCTTTTTAAATAGAATTTCCCCTCAAGATTTTCTAATACATTTTATAAGACAATACAAATGTCAAACGACTGTATCCCAATAACTAGTAACAATAACTTTGCTTCACCTAAAATACAAGAACAAAAAATAGTGACACAATAACTAACAAACTAACCTTTCCGAAATAGAGTCCAAGTGATGCATAAGTTGGTTCAATACCAAGATTCTTTACCCTATCTGTAATTTCTGATTAGAAAAAACAAGAACAACAACCCACTTTTGAATGGTTAGCAATAACGCGCATCAAATTTAACCTAGACCTAATTAAGACCTTATCATGACTCATTTTTTTTACTAACCATACCCTGTAATTGAGAGCAAATGGGCAATTCAAGCTCAACTGTAAGGGAAGTATTTGTTATCATCAGGACAACTGCTCCTAGAAAACACACCCATAAGAGAACTACTATTCTCTAGTCTTCCCTAGACATTTACAACATGGATTTCTACTTCCTAGGTATTTATACCCCTCGGGATACGTACAACATGAAAAATGACCTCCTAGGAGAATTGTCCTCAAGAGAAATTACCCCCAGATAACAACCATCCTTAATAAGTTAACCTAATCACCCTCATGCAACTATCTATAGATGGACATTCGATTTGGAAGTCCTTATCTGAGAATTCAAAGATAATATATACTTTTCACCAATCTCACTGTCAATATACCTCCCTCTTAAAAGAAAAAGAAAATGCCTTACTGCTTTAAAAACACACCTTTTTCCCATTTCTGTTCATAAAATTTCCTCTCAAGATTGTTATATTCGAATACATTTTATAAGACAATAAAAAGGACAAACGACTGTATCCTACTACAGTCATGGCAATGTATAATTATAACAAAAAAAGAACTTCGCAGTTTTATTTACACGATTATACTTTTAAGGTCAACACTGATATTAAGGCAGGGTATTTTACTGACATCGCTACCACTACGTATTTTCAATTGCGCAATATTTCGGCGACGGCGTACGCATAAAACGATTTCCGGCCCTGTACCCAAGCATTATCATGTAGATGGTGATGCACTGTGGAACATGTCATTCAAAGCACCGGGACATTGTGAGCAGCAGATGGCAGTACACGTCAATCTGAAGTAGTATCAGTAGAATACACTGCCTTTAAGGTCAATCAAGTATGAACAAACCTATGAAATCTGGACGATCACTTGCTTCATAGCTCCATGAATCTCTCATAACTTTAATCAGAGCTTCAGGAGTGTTTTGGGGAACTGGTTCCAGACAGGGATGTTGGTTGGTTAATTTAAAGATCCTTATCATGGCAGAATCTCTGTCTGCATGATATACAAACAAATTATAGAACATAATACAGGGAAATTAATTAAATTAGCAATACAAATGAATGAGTAATACTTACAGTCAAATGTTAGTGCACTCAAACAAAAATCTATGAGCATTAGCAAATTGAGGCTAAAGCCTCTGTATAACATCATTTTGTAGTCATAAGCTGATTTATAATCAAGTTAAATAGAAGGTTGAGTTCTTGGAAGAGGTGAACAAAAAATTTGTGAGCGTTATCATTCTTATTATGAAAGTGTAGAAGAACATCAAATAAGATATGTTCCCTGAAAAGCATGGATCTTCAAATGCCTTCATATTACAAATATGTCATGTAACATCGTACAAATCCGGGTAGGATTTTTACGCCACGTGTTCGTGTAGTCCCATATACATATTTCTGTGTACAGTGTTTGTAACTTTACCAAGACTTGGCCAAATTTCTTACAATTTTGATGATTCCAGAACCTTGCAATACACACACATTCTTATATGCTAGATGATCAACCTTTTCTGGTCGATTCCACACTGTTTCTTTCACAATGCAATCGCATGACCAGAACTCAACTTCATCTTTAGATACAAATTCACGCCAATTTAAGGATCAGAGATGGCTCAGTAGTAGAACAGTTATCTCATAACTATATAGAAGGACCCAAGTTCTAAACCATGTGAATTCACGTGACCAGTGCTCTTTGGTAAGACATTACACGTCATTACCATGTCATTCAGAGAGGATTAAAAGTCACCAAGTTGCGCTTTTTGTATCAGTCAGGTAAACAAAGAAACTTCCAAATCTAAGCAATGCTAAACATTAGGCCTGCGGGTGCAACATGAGAGAGAGAGGGGGAGGATTGAGGAGTCCTGAATAAGTAATGCTATCAAAAAAGGAAGCAAAAACTCACCAGAGTATGGGTGAATACCTGTCAGAAGTTCATAGAGAGTCATCGCAAAGCTGTGGGTTAATGCATGGAGAAAAAGAAACATGGACATTTGTTACACTCAAGTTTATACCAAAAAAGACTAAAAGCAGATATTGAACAGAAAGGTACTAATATCTGGACTGTATTCATTAGTTGGGTTAATTACAGTGAAATACACCTTTCTCCATGTTTACTTCATGTTTCTGTAACTACTAAGCATTTAAAAAAATAATTATTCATGGAAATACAAAATTTAATTGGTCCTGACAAACTTGATGAAGTTGAATCATTTTCATATACAGAGTTTAAAAAAGACATTGTTATCCTAAATTAAAAGAATTAGGGAACTATAACAATCAGGTTTGGAAAATTAAAAGTATGCGTTTAAAATTGCCCTTGTTCTTCCTTCAAAATGTTTAAAAGTTTAAAATGCCCCACTAGACATGTGTGTTATAATTTGTTGTATGCAATTATTTGTTTAATGTGTTATTATTGTCTTACTTCTTCAAACATTTTCTAGGGTTTTAACTAAACCAAATTGTCAATCTTATGGACTATCGGTCTGCAGGGATGTTTCAATTCAAAATATTTTTAGTCTTCAAACCATTTAACATGAGCCTTGATGAATTATGCACATACTGTTGTTAAGGGAATGTTAGCTTGCCCTATTCATCAGTACTCTGGCAGAGGAAGCTTTCACACATTCTTTGTATTCAACAACTTCAATTTTATCATATTTAACCAGTAGTTTTACATCCGATCCAAAAAAAATATTTATGAAATTAAAGGCCTCGTTATGAGTGTCTTTCTCAGAGGCTTTTCTGTGGGGGCGGCAGAGGAGACATGTGCCCCAGATGGCACTTAAAGGGCCGCAAAAATGAAGAAAAAAGAGAAAGGAGAAGAAAGGAAGAAAACATATGATGATCCAAAATAAAGGAATGAATGAATGAAGGTTTGATGAAGAAGCCAATAGAAAACTACATGTACTAAACCCATATATTGATGTTCAAAATTCAAAACTCTACTGTTCAATAACAACCAAGGATATTAAAATATTCCAATTTGGGCAGCGAGGTGGCAAAATTGATGCTGAAGTAACATTTTCACCATAATGAAATAATAAAAGCAGGGTTAAACAATAAAAACCTTTATAACAATACAAAAAATGGTTCATACCAAAATAAATCATAACAATCTTTTATGAAATGACCTGCAGTTATTATAACCTGGATAACTATCCCCCTCAAATACCTGAATGTGTTGGACGATTAAAGTATACCCAGAATTCTTTCAAAAACTCATTCAAGAATTGGAATATACATTGATTGGGTATATCACCACCGCTAAATTCTTTGATTTAATGGACTTCTGAGGATTGTTTATATGAATTATATTTTCTTACCTGTAGACATCATACTTTGGAGTACCAATCATAATTGAGTTGGGTATGTCTGTTCTAAAAGCTTCTGGTGGCTTGTGACTGTGCGTGCCACAACATCTATCACCAAATGAAGTTTGGAGATTGGTTGCAAGGCCAAGATCTGCAATCTGTACATGTCATCAACAGAGAGAGAGAGAACACTTTCAGATTAATATCACACTATTCTAGATTGATGTGTCCCGAATAGTGAAGGTAATAACTATCTTGTTTGACAGGAAAGTTCATGAGATCTTTGTTTGATTTCTTGAAGGAGAATTCTTGGGAATCTTAGATGCTTCTCCATCTTCCAATAATAAGTTCAGCTGCAAGCTCCATTATGATGTGTGATATTAAACTAGCCTATCTTTCAAATATAATAAAGTACTTTTCAGTTCACAAATCAATATCTAAAAAAGAAGAAAATTAATTGAATATTCCCTTTTTTTTTTGGTAGTTTTAGTGACAAATCTAATGTAGGTACAAGGGCCAGGCAAGGACACCATCAAACATTTTAGGGTCCCTCAGTTCCTCCTGGAGACCTTGTCAGTACAAGGTCATAATCAAGTGAAATGTTTGGATAATTCATGTCGCAGGGATCGTGTGAGCAATCTGAGAATATGTATCGCTAATCTGCACCTGAATCACAATCAATGAAGATAGTTTAATTTGCAGCAAGACAAAATTCATTAAAGGCATGGAACTAAAGACATTATATCATGCCTATCTATATAGAATGCAGTCAATAACAGCCAAGAAATATGTTTAAGTACCGTAATCCTGAAAAAGCAGTTTGTCAGATTTCTTCTATTTCAATCTTCTCAGACGAAAATAATGAGATACTCAAACTCAAACTTATATGGTGACAATTGAAATAAATAGCAGGGCATTGTTTCATGAAACTGTTATGAGTACAAGTTAACCGACATCCCACTGAAATGTGTGTAAAGTACAATACAAGTGTTAATGTGATATCTTAAGTACTTATGATGGTTTCATGAAACGCTGCATAGATGACAGGTGAAGAATGTTACCTTGACATGAAGATCACCATCTACTAGAACGTTCTCCAGCTTGAGATCCCGGTGAATGATATCTTTTGAGTGGAGAAATTGCATTCCAGACGACATTTCATAGACCATCCTGTTGGTCAGAGGCAAGAGGTCGGGGTGCTGTTGCCATTTAGTAGTGCGGAAGTCCCAAAGAGATCCATTCTCCATGTATTTCATGACGATACCAATAAGGCCACAGTTACATGCATCATCTTCACACTCCACAAACCCTTTGATGGGGACAATGTGCTCACATATGAGGGAATTCTCGTGCTTTCGAGCCTCATTCTTGTACATCTTCACTTGATCTCTATATAGGATACTGAGAAAAACATTGATCAAAGAAAATGATATCTTACCACGAGGAATGAAGATTTTTTTCTTAGAAGATCTAAATATGGTCATAAGCTGAAACAAACTTCTTAGTCTGCTAGTGCAATCATATTTTGTGACATAGGGAACAGATCTAAGCCAATTATGACATTTTTGTATGTTACAAGTTCCAATATTCATCTTTCACTTCAAACTGAAATTAACAAGAAGCATGTGATTATCATGATCCTGTCCCCATATTTGCAGTCAAAGCTCGTTTTACCCAGAGTGTGCTATGTTCAGAGATATGGCTATGAAACTCGAGTTACGAGGTCCCTTTGTTTTTAGGCAGAGGACTGTACATTATTGTCGAGTTCAATACCTTAAGATATGCCTGATATATTCCATACACTTTTTGTTATGACTACATCTCTGCTGGATGAGATGTGGTTCTTAAATTTTTAAAAGAAATTATGAACTTCAAAATCTTTAAATTGGCAATGCACAACGGAATGTAAAATCATATAAAACCATTATGTGAAAAATATGTTAGTTAACATAACCAATATTCAGAAAACAATGTAAAATCCGAAACTATGATAAGAGAGTTTTGTATGGGAAAGATGCAGTCTGCATACACATAACCTTATGCAAGCCGCATGCATGGACTTAACATGAAACATGATTGGCTGAGAGATCTGAGTCTCATTGGAGAATGAATGAAAAATGGGCATGTCAGGGGCATAACCTAAAAAAGAATAACATACCCCGGACATAGTTTTCAAAATACTGATTAAGAGGTATGTTAAGGGTATGTTAACTGTGGGACCCAGATATTAATAATAATAATAATAGTGGATACTTGTATACCGCACAGGTCCACCTTTCGGTGCTCATGGCGCTTAGAGAAAAGTACATGTAACAGACATAAGAAAGAAAAAACAATACATCGAAAAACAAAAATCGAAGTTCTCCTAGACATAGTAAATTAGAATATTGCAATAATTACAACGAAATAAACAAATAAGTTTTCAGTTGTAATTTGAATGTTTCTGTTGACGACAGTTGACGTAATTGTAGAGGGGGCTTATTCCAGAGTTTTGGACCCATGGCTGAGAGAGCCCGTTCGCTCCAAGCATGTTTTATAGTGGGAGTATTAAGTAATAGCGTGTCTTATGAGGAGCGAAGACTTCGTGTGGTTTTTTTTTAACTGAGTTGCTCAGGTATGTAGGGGAAGAAAGAGAGTAAACGGAATGATGAA